ATTGCATGCTGCCCTATTACTGCTTTCTATTGCTGTGATAAATTAGTGCTTTCTACTGCTGTGATAAACACCATGACCAAAAGCAGCTTGGGGAGGAGAGGGTTTATCTTACACTTCCAAATCACAGTTCATCACTGAGGAAAGTCACAGCAAGAGCTCAGGCAGAAACCTGACAGTAGGAACTGAAGTAGAGGCCATGGAAGGAGTGCTGTTAGCTTATTTTCCAGGCACGCGTTCAGCTACCTTCCTTAGACCTCCCAGGACCACCTGCCCAGAGGGGGCACTGCCCACAATAGGCTGTGCCTTCCCATATCGATAACCAAGAAAATGCCCTACCAGTCAGGCATGGTGGCCCATGCTTTTAATCCCACTCTCAGAAGGCAGAGTTAGGTGGATCCCTTTGAGTTCGAGGCCAGCCTGGTCTACACAGCAAGTTCCAGGACAGTCAGAGTTCCATGATGGAGACCTGTCTCAAAAAATAAAAAAAGAAGGAATAAAATTCCCTACAGACTTATCTACAGGCCAATCCGATGGAAGCATTTTCTCAGTAGAGGTTCCATCTTTCTAAATGATTCTAGTTTGTGTCAATTTGAGAAGAAATTAAGGAGCACATAGAGGTTTGTTTAATTTTTAAACAGGGTCTCATTCTGTAGCCCTGGCCTAGAACTCATGGAAGTCTGCCTGCCTCTGCCTCCTGAGTGCTGGGGTTAAAGTTGGGTGCCACTACACTGGCTCCCATGTGCTTTCTTAGCAGCTTTCTTTGCTGAGGATCAGTTGGCTGGATGTGGAGGCTTTATTTCTAGGCTTTTTACTCTGCCCCATTGGTCTAGGTATCTTTATGCCAATACATGCTGTTTCTATGGATACCTTTATAGTATACTTTTGTTTTGTTTTTGTTTTTTGAGACAGGGTTTCTCTGTATAGTTTTGGTGCCTGTTCTGGATCTCTCTCTGTAGACCAGGCTGGCCTCAAACTCAAAGGGATCCACCTAACTCTGCCTCCTGAGTGCTGGGATTAAAGGCGTGGGCCACCGCTGCCCAACTATAGTGCATTCTTAATAGAGGTACCATAAACTCAAGATTTGGCTATCGAGGACGTGAGTGCATGTGTACAGGTCCATGTTTGGGTGCATGTGCACATAGATGTGGTGGCCAGAAGCATTGTCCACTCTTTGTTTTTTGTTTTGAGAAGGGTTCTCTGTGTAGTCCTGGCTATCCTGGAACTCACTCTGTAGACCAGGCCTCAAACTCAGAGATCCACCTGCCTCTGCCTTCCAAGTCTTGGAATTAAAGGCATGCACCACCACAACCTGACTTCTTTTGTTTAAAATTTATTTTTATGTGTATGAGTGTTTTGCCTGCATGTATGTCTGTGTATCACATGTATGCATGGTGTCCACGGAGTCCAGGATAGGGTGTCAAATACCCAGGAACTGGAGTTACAACTCTTGCTGCCATGTGGGGGCTGGGAATCAAACTCTGGTCCTTTCTACAAGAGCAGCCACTTGCTCTTAACCACTGGATCATCTCTCCAGCTTTTTGAATGTGAGTTCTTGGGATTGAACTCAGGTCCTTGATTTTGTAAGACAGTTTGCTCCTGAGACATCTCATCCTCACTTGGAGTTTTTGTAGTTACATATGAATCATAGCCTTGTCTTTCCTAGGTCTGTGAAGAATGTTATTAGTGTTTTGAATGGGATTGCATTGACTCTGCAGAACGCTTGGACATTTTAACTGTTGATTCTTCCAATGCATGAACACAAGATGTGTGTCCGTCCTTTGCAATTTCTCTCAGTGTTTATAGTTTTCATTGTAGAGATCATTCACATCATGGTTTAAATTTATGACAAATAGGATTGCTTGCTTGATTTCTTGTTTACATAATTTCCTAATGGTAGACAGAAATGCTACTGTTTTCTTTTTTTTTCCCTGTAATGAGGATTGAACATGCCTTCTACATGCTAGGTAATTGTTCTATCAATGAACTATATCCCTTACTCTTTTTATTTGAGACAAGATCTCATTAAATTTCCCAGGCTAGCCCGAACTCCTGCCCAGGAAAGCTTTGGAATTAAAATTCTTCTGCTTCAACCTCCCGAGTGCCTGGGATTACAAGCCTGGATGTTGATTTTTATCCTGAAACTGAATTGAACTTACTAGCGCTAATAGATTTTGGTGAAATTTTTAGGGCTATCTACCTGTAAGACCATGCCACCTGCACCAGTGACAGTCGGATTTCCTCCCCTCCAGTTCAGATGCTCTTCAGTCCTCCTGGCTTTCTCTGGCTAGGACTTCAGCATCATACTGAATACAAGAGGTGAAAGTGGATGTCCTTGCCTACTCCCAGATCTTAGAGGGAAGGCTTTCACCTGTCTCCCGTTCAGTAACATGCTGGCTGTGGGCTTGTTGGATATGGACTTAATGGTGGCCTCATGTCCTTCTACACCTGATCTCTTTTGTTTTTACCCTGGAAGGATGCTGGATTTTATCAATAACTTTTTCCATCTGATGAGATGATCATATGGGTTTTAACTCTCAGTCTGTTGATGTGCTGTATCGTGTTTATTGTTTTCTACATATTGACCTATCATCCTTGGCCTGAATCTCATGTGATCGCAGTAACAATCCTTTTAATGTGCTGTTGGGTCTGGTTAGTATCTGGTTGAGCTTTGTTGCATTTTTCTTTGTTTTTAATCACTGTTCTGTTGCTGTAAAGAGACGCCATGACCAAGTCAACTTTTTAGAGAAATCTTTTCATTGGAATATTGCTAACGGTTTCAGAGGGTGAGTCCACGACCATCATGGCAGGGAGCATGGCAGCAGGCAGGCAGGCCTGGTGCTGGAGTGTGGCTGAGAGCTTCCATCAGATCCGTAAGTCAGAGGCAGACAGAGACATGAGACCGGCCGGCGAGGGCTTTTGAAACCTCAAAGCCCAATCCCAGGGGTGCACCGCACCTCTTCAACAAGGCCAGACCTCCTAATCCTTTCAAAACAGTCCGCCAGCTGGGAAGCATTCAAATATATGACCCTAGCCAGGGGAGGCAGTGCACACCTTCAACCCAGCCCCTCTTTTTTTTTTTTTTTTTTTGGTTTTTCAAGACAGAGTTTCTCAGTGTAGCTTTGCGCCTTTCCTGGAACTCACTTGGTAGCCCAGGCTGGCCTCGAACTCACCGAGATCCGCCTGCCTCTGCTTCCCGAGTGCTGGGATTAAAGGCGTGTGCCACCACCGCCCGGCTTCAACCCCAGCCCCTCTTATTCAAACCACCATAACGTTAATTACAGATAGAAACTTTATTTTTTCTTTTTAAAAATGTGTGTGTGTGTTTGAGTGTGTTAAGTTGTGTGTGTGTGTGTGTGTGTGTGTGTGTGTGTGTGTGTGTGTGTGAGTATATAAATGTATGTGTGTTTTATCTGGTATCAGGCTAATGCTGCCCTGAAAAATAAAATTATGAGAATTCCTTCTTGTTCAAATTTTCAGAATGTTAAGATTTTATTTGAGACAGAGCATCATACCAGAGATATCTCAGGCTATATAGCCAAGGATGACCATAAGTTCCTGATATTCCTTCTTCAGCCTCCCAAGTACAGAAACTTCATATCTGAGGAGACTGGAAGGTTTGAATATAAAGGAAATATGGTAGTTCCCGGAAGAACTTCCCTTTGTGTTTGAATTATAAATGAAGCAATAGTGTCAGACTTAATTAGAAATGGAACTTTATAATACACTATCTTTTTTTGTTTATTTAAAACACTTTTTGAGACATTGTCTATGTAGCCCAGGCTGGCCTTGAACTAGCAATTCCTCTGTCTCTACCTGCTGGGTGCTGGGATTATAGGCACATACCACTGTACAAATCACATAGGACAATATTCAAAAGGTCATTGGGCCATTTTTTGCCCAATCTTTTTGTGACAACAGGTTCTTATGAGTGACTTGTATTATGTGTGTATGTGCATATTTATGTAGATTCATATGCCTCTGTGTGTGCACCCGTGAGACCAGAGGTTGAAGTTGGGTGTCTTCCTTTGTCTCCTGTGTGCCTATTGTTTGTTTGTTTATTTATTTGAGACAGGGTCCTCTGACGTAACCAGGAATTTAGTTGATTCAGCCAGACTGGCTGCCTAGCAAGACCCTGGGACCTTCCTTTCTCCCTGACATGTTCTGGGGATCCAAACCTCAGATCCTTCTCATACCTGCACAGCAAGCAGTTTATCCACTGAGCCATTTCCCCAGCCCCATGACTTGTAAGATTAGAAACCATGTTAACGCATCAAACTTTAGGGACCTTGACATTTCAGCATCAAGTGTTTGAACCATGCTTATGAAAACTGGCGATATATCACCACAGGCAAAGTTAACACAGAAAAGAGAGTTGACTTCCAGGCAGCAGAGAGTCAGAAACTAGAGGATGGCAAGGAGCAGGACCAGGGGAAAGCGGATGACTAAACTCAAGAGATCTAAAATCTATTCTTGCGACTTTAGCAGTTAGCTATGTGGTGCATTTAGTATCGTAGTGATAACTTGCTTATTAAGAGAACAGGTCGGGGGCTGGAGAGATGGCTCAGAGGTTAAGAACACTGACTGCTCTTCCAGAGGTCCTGAGTTCAATTCCCAGCAACCACATGGTGGCTCACAACCATCTGTAATGAGATCTGGTGCCCTCTACTGGCCTGCAGGCATACATGCAGGCAGAACACTGTATATGTAATAAATAAGGAAATAAATAAATAAATAAATCTTAAAAAAAAAAAAAAAAGAGAACAGGTCATGTCTACTTCCTGTTTCCCTGACACTTAGAGCAGATGCCACTAATGTGGCTCTGGGTGGCTGTGACTTTACAAACTTGTGAACTAAATACTAGTGTCCCTTCCAAACCGGTGTTCTGTCCTAAATCCTTTTGGCAAAATGACCTTCCAAGTTGCAACAGGACTTGATTCTAGAATCAGGGGGTTTTCTTTTAAGAGCGGTCAAAAGTGCCATGGGCAGCAGACACTCCAGGCTTCATCTTGAACAAACCTATTTAATGAAGAAGGGGCAGCCGGATGTCCCACCATGACGAAATTAACCCAGTTCTCACCACTAGGTGGAGAAGAAGCCACCATCATTTTTTCGGGAGTAACCTCCATTGGTGGCTGCCGTGTGAGGAGACACTGTGGAGAAAAGAGAATGGGGTGAGCTGGAATTTCAGACCCTTTGCCCCCACCCCCTTTTTTGAGTCCTTTAATCAAATGCATTTATTGGTACCGTGAGAAGATTCTTGTAATGATGGGAAATTGGCATACGATGGACTGATGGATGTTAACTAAGATCTTCATTCCCAGATTCATGTCCTATGCCTGCCCTGCTCAAAATGTCACCTAGACAAAATCTGAACAGCTGAACTCCTAGTTCTATTATCAGCATGTCCCCTAGGAGTGCTCCGGTAGGTGACAACTTAATCACTAATTCCCGTCCCCTGTGGTCTCCGATCCTCCTGCCATCAGTCACCCCAAGCCTGGTCCCTGGAGGTTCAGTGATGTGGGAGCACCCCCATGTGCCACCCTGTCTGCTAACCCTCACCTATGGATCCCTGGATGCTGTGGATGGATTCTTTCTTAGGGTTGATCCAGTGTCTGATGATGTTAGCCCGGGAAGTGATGGGGGCCGCAGGGGAGTGGAAACATTCTCCAGGAAACTGGATCTTGCTTTTGGAAAACGTGGGAGGAGAACAGGGGAGAGTGACATCAGCCAGAAAGAAAACATGAGAGGGGAGATGATAGATGATATCATAAGATTTCAAGTCCAAGGCCCTGTGTACCTTCTGGAATTATCATCTTCTTTTTTTTTTTTTTTTTTTTTTTGAGCTGAGGATCGAACCCAGGGCTTTGCGCTTGCTAGGCAAGTGCTCTACCACTGAGCTAAATCCCCAACCACCTTCTGGAATTATCAAAGCATTTGTTTGTTTATTCGGATGGACCTAACTGGATAGATGAACTATCCAGATGAGGATTTCTGCTCATTTTAGAAAATGAAATACATAAATGAGGCCTAAGGATGTTGCTGGGGGTATAGCACTTGCCTGGCATGCATGATATCCTAAGTTTGATCCCCAGCACATTTAAGCCAAAGACAAAAACAAACTATTCTGCCCATAAAACCCCAACTACGTACTTGTTCGTATTGCCACATGTCGTTTTGGCTTATGTCACTGATGGTAGGTGGCATCCTTAGGGCGCAGAGGCTCTGTCTTCAGCACTTACCCATGCTTATCCTGAATGGTCTCCTGGTGCAACAGTATCTCAGTTTTGTTCTTGAATGCCCCAGTGTGGTGGTCATACAAGGCTGCTAAGCGGAAATCCAGATCATCCTTTGGCATCTACAGAGGAACCAGTCCTCCGACAGTTAACTTGGCTGTTTTGTGCCTTAACCCTAGTCAGATTGTATCCAAAAGAGCAGAAACCCACCAGCACCTAACACTGTGTTGTGCATGATGGTGACTTCGTAACTCTTGTCCACAGGAATGATCTCCTGGGGTTAGGCTAAGAGTGCTAAGCTCACTGGTGACATGGAAAAATGGTCTTTGCGTTTGACAAACCTTATCTCATTTATGGTTATATTCTTTTTGTTTATGTTTGTTTTCATTTTTCAAGATAGGGTTTCTCTATATAGCCCTGGCTATCCTAAAACTAATTCCGTAGACCAGGCTGGCCTCAAACTCAGATTGCCCCTGCCTCTGCCTCCCAAGTGCTGGGATTAAAGGTGTTCGCCACTACCACCCAGTTCAACCTTGGATTTACTACAGTGTGTGAGAAGAAATTTGATAAAAATGATTTGGAGCAAGCCTTGTGACTTAATAGGTTGGTTTTGGATTTGGTAAGATCTTGAATTGGAACAAAAGGAAAGATGCTGAGGCATTTCAGACTACCTTAGAAAAGGATATTGATGCCAAGTGTGCTGGCATATGTCCGTGATCCCAGTACTCAGGGAGATTGAGAGTTCTAGGCCAGTTTGGGCTAAATACTAAGTTTGGGGTCAGCTTTGGCTATGTAGCAAGGTTCTATCTAAAAAAAAAAATCAATTAATTAATTAAAATAAAATAGAAGATATTTTTTGAGCCTGAAGTGGATACAAAAAAGAAGTAGTATTTCAATGCTATGTACCTTGGGATCGAAAAAGCAGGCGTCTCGCCTCATGGAGGTAAATGTGGGAGTTGAGTTGAGCCGACTCCAGGGTTCCTGCTGCTGAGCAAGGTGAGTTGGGTTCTTAAACGATGATTTCTGCAAAAGAGAAAAAACATGCAGGACTTGGTTATAGGAGGCCTTGCTGATGCAGCATGGGTCACGTTCATCACCGTGCTCCATCTGAGGCCTTCCTAATGCTTTTGGGCCATGTTCATCACCGTGCTCCATCCCATTTTACTTGAACCTCAGAAGGACAGCCACAAAGAGGAGTGATAGCAGGGGCAGGCCTCTCTAAGCATTCTGAGTGAGAAATGACTGAAATGGACTGGGGACGGGGACACAGGAGAAGCTGGCGGGTCAGGATACTGAGAGGAAAGGAGAGGAGAGGAGAGGAGAGGAGAGGAGAGGAGA